TGGATACAACCACATCTGCAAGGATCCCAGGAGTACAGTGGGTAACAGAGGTTGCTCCCAGGCCACAGCTGTCTACCTGGGGATAGCTGGCTCGCCTCAACTCTCCTCAGTCAGAAATCTTCATGAGGAATCCCAGCTGCCTCCCTTCGCGTGGTCCAGCTGGCCAGACTCTCCTCTCAGCAGCTGCATCACTACTCTCAGGTAGGCAGCTGGGCTAAACCACCTGCTCAGTACTCAACTCCCACCCTTTACCTGGATATCTTGATCACCCTCCTCCTCTTTCCTGTTGCCTGGAGCCACAAGCCCTCTCCTCCAGTGCTCTTTGGGGAAAACAATTTTAATTCATTTCCTTTTTATTCCCACCTTGTTACAAAAAGTATTAAGTAGACGTGGTGGAAAGACTTAAAAACCAAATACAAAAATCAAAGATAAAACTTGACCATAATCAACTCTTTCTTTCGAGCTCAGTAACATTAACAGTCCTGCATTTTTTACAAGCAGGAAAATAAAGATTTTTCCAAAACCCTTCACCTCCCCTCAACCCCAAGATAAGCACTTTAGTACCTGGATAAACAGCCTTCTGACCCTCTGCCTATGTAGAAAGACACATAAATCAGTAATATAGATTTTTGCCTTTTGACAAAAAGTGGCTATACTTTCCCCCACTTAACAACATGCCATAAGCATCTTTCTATAAACAGGTAAACGCTGTGTTCATGGCTGTAGGGACAGTGAATTGTATGGCTGCTCCATTCATCCTTCAAAATCCCCAGCTGCTGGAACATGAACATTCCAGTGTTTCATCACATGAACATTGCTGGAATCTGCCCTCAGGTTAAGAATTCATCCTTTTTCTTCAGCATCAAGTTTTATCTCCATCTACCTCTTCCCAGACTAAGGCTTTACCCTGCACAGCTCCATCCATCACTGGTACCCAGCCTCACACCACCCAGCAGCCCATGATCCCAGTTTAGTTCTGTTCTAGCTTCACATTCACACACACTGAGGTGCCAGTTAAAGATCTTTCCTGGTCTTCCATAGCTCAAGGCCTCAGCAAGTCAGCACTTAGTGTGTGTCTTCTGTGTGCAAGTCTCTGCTGGACCTTGGGAGAGCAAAGTCAACAAGACAGCTTATTCCCTGTCCTAACACAGAAAACAAATGTTCAGCACATTAATTTTGCAAATGGTCAACTATGGGTGTGTTGAGTGTGAAGGAAATGAGAGAGCCTATCATAGTCTGTACAAGGTTTCCTACTTCTCCAGAATGTGGTCCTCAAAGCCTGTCGCAGGCCAGCCACAACCTGCCTCTCCAGCCTTGCAATTGGCCTGCATCTGGAATGTCCCTCTTATCTGCACCTATTACCCAAATACCACCTCCTCTGATTCCTCTCCTGACCTGTCCCATCACTCCACTGAGGTGGCCCTGAGCAAGGGTACAGAGGTTCTGGGCCAATTCTCTGGCCTCTTAGTCACATATCCAGTAGGTCACCACTGCTTCCAGGCTTCTGATCTTGGGTTTCCCGGGCCTCCACCATGACATCCACTACCTCATGAGCTCCCCTGCAGGTCCACTTTCCTCCTGTACTCTATAATTTAGCCTGCCCCTCCTGTACACACAACCTGGTGGATTTACCAAAAACCAAACTTGTTGCCATCAAGAAGACTTTAACTTATAGTGACCTTGTAGGACAGAATAGAACTGCTTCATAGAGCTTCCCAAACTATAACTCTTTATGAAAGCAGACAGTCACACGGTTCTACAGAGCAGCTGATGGGTTTGAACCACCAATCTTTCAGTTAGCAGCCAAGAATGTAACCACTATGCCACCAAGGCTGCTTTGTGGCTCTACACTCAGCCATGATACTGACCACTCCCCTGATCCATTTCACCCATCAGAGCCTGGTTCTAGATTAGCATATCCAACTGCTTCCCCTAATTCCTCAGTCTTCCACTCAGTAAAAGGCTTCAAGTTACACAAACCAAGAATTGGGGGCTCTTCTTGGCTGCATTGCCCTCTTAACACCTCCTTGTCAGCATACCCCAGTACAGCCAAATTCTGCCTCTTTCTACCACCTCCACAAAGAACCCTAAGTAGAGACACCAACCTTTCACCCAGCCACAACAAGACTCCAAATGTCCCTCCTCCACCAAACCCTGGCCTTTCTCAGCAGCAGCCAGCATGATCACGGTACTTTGCTTTCAGTGAAAACCCTCCAGCAGCCTCCTACTGAACACAGGTAGGTCCTGTATTATGATGCTTTCAAATGAGATGAACGGCACCTACTCTGAGTTATATCCATATATATATTGTTAGTAATATGTACTACATGCAATGTTGTAGCTTGTAGTTTGCTGGTATTATCATTCTCAGATGCTTACTTGCAGATGATCAGTGCTATAATTTATACTGATTTTGTTGCCGTTCAGTGCTGTCGAGTCGGTTCCAACTCATTGCAACCCTGGTACATGGTTTCCAAGGAGAGACTAATGGGTTTGAACCATTAACCTTATGGTTAGCAGTCCAGTGCTTATTCTACAGCGCCACATCAGGGATCCAAAGATACAGATAGTAAAGGCATTAATAACAAAAACTAAAAACCATGAGGCACTCGACTTACATCAGAACCTACTTACATGGAATGGAATCCCACTGTAAGTTGGGGACTACTTGAACTTTGGACTCCTGGTGTGGTACTATGGCAATTAATAACAACCTGTACTTTAAACTTCAAACTCCTCAGCAGAGTCCATAAGGCCCTGGCATCTTGGAGCCTGGTTTCTTCCAACTTACACCCTAGCCCTCAGTGCCTCCAGCCTCCCTACTAATTAGGCCCTGTACTTAGCCTACACCCTCCTTGCTCCCTCTGCTTGAAGCTCTACTGGAGTCTGCTCCTCCTCCTGATATGGGTCTCGCCTCACATTGCCTTCCTCTAAGCTGTCTTTGGAGTCCTGACGTGGCACGGTGGGTCAACGCGCTAGACTGCAGTTTGAACCGCAAGTTTGGCAGTTCAAGCTCACCAGTCCCTCCTTGGTCGCTATAAAGGATCGCTATGAATTGGAACCAACTCAATGGCACTTAACAAGGTGTCTTTCCTGACCCTTCTAGTTCAAGTAACACTCAACCCCATCCTCCATAAAAGCCACAGGTACATTTCTCACTGCCAGGATTGATCTAAAGGCTCCCAGTTGTCTATATTAAGCACTTCCTTGGGCAAACTCCAAGGTGACCCAGGATTCCCTCACCAAGAAAAGCCAGAGTGACCAAGACGGAGGCATTTGCTCTGCACCAGGCCCTGGGCTGAGAATTTCACATTCTTTCTTTGTTCCTGGAAACCACCCTCTGACTATTTCTATTTTACAGATGAGGAAGCTGATGCTCAGAGTAACTTACCCAAGAAATTGGGCTGGGGAAGCCAGGATTTGAGCCTAGGTCTCTGCTCAGACAACTGTTACACCCTTCGTTGGGTGCCTTTCCACTGCTCAGGGAAGGCTCAACCTAACACCAAATGTAAACAGCCCAAACTCCAGACACCAGGACCCAAGGGAAGGGGAACTGACAGGAATCAAAATACTCTGGAGATGGAACAAGCACCTGGCATTAACAGACAGGCCTCACACAGCTGACAGGTGCAAAACAAAGGCTTTAATCCCAATAGCAATGAAGGCGAAAGGGGCTGGGGAGCAAGGGGCACTCACACAGGGAGGGACCAGGAGGGCAGTGATCTGGCCCATGGAAGGGAGGCAGGCACTGGACCTCTCCTGGAAAATGTTTATTTCTATGGCTCCTGCCTCAGCCTTGGCCCAGACCATCAGCCTAGATTTGAGGGTCAAGCCCTGTATTGTGCTTCTCAGATGCTCCTCCCTGCCCCCCCAAAAAGGGTACATGAGACCTAACAGAGTATGGAAGAGTGGAGAGAGGCAGGACTGGGCTTGGGTAAAGACCAGGCCCAGGAACAGTCCTAGAAGAAAACCCGGGAAGTGGCATACTGCTGCAGCATCTCTCACCCCTACGGTAGACCAGGCCAGCTCAGCCCTGGCCCATCCTCACAGCTGATGTCCAGGCTGGGGAGCCATCACTCAGGTCATCCCACTAAGCTAACAGGGATGCCCGAGAAGCTGGAAGAACACAAAGTAGGACTGCTATTTTCTATGCCCCCATCCCCGCCACCCAGGGTGCCTCGGGAAAAGAAGCAAGAAGCAGTGAGGAGGCAGCAAAGCGTCTGAAAGTACAGCAGCCCCAAGGATCCAGGGCTTCCGCACACCTGGATTATACTACCAAGCCCTCCTACAATCTCTGCCACCCCCTCCCAGCCATGGAGAGCTTTGTATAGATAAATCTCACCTATCAGCTAGTGAGGGAGGGGGGCAAGCATTGCCTGATCCTTCCCAGGTGCCCAGTGCACCCACAGGGCAGTCTCATGACTACTCTGGGGGAGGGAAAAGGTGCAGCATGGCCAGGAAACCCAGCAAAGCCAAGAGCCAAAGAACAGCAGAACCAGGTTGAGGCTCTGAACACAGCCCCTTAGGCCCAAGAAGAACCATGATAGAGGAGCTGGGAGTTGCTAGCCAGAATAGCCCAGGTTTTTCCTTCCTTCCCTACCTCACCCCTGGGACTAGCTGGCTGCTGGCCCCAGCCTCTAGCCCTCAAAGTACCCAGACACCCACATGAACATGGGAGGCAAAGGGCTTAGGAAATTGACCCACCCTGTGAGGAACAGTTGCTCTAGTCCTCAGAAAGGCAACAGGCAATGGGGAAAGATAGCAATAAATATAGCAAAGTACCCCTGTCCCGCCCCCACAGTGGCACAGGGCAGCCCACGGTCTCATAATGGGGCTAAGAGGAGAGAAGGGAGGAAAGGAGGGACAGGCACAAGAAGGGGAGGTCCAGCCCCTCCGCCATGGGAGGAGGTCAGGAAACTGGCCACACTTTGGTCACTTCTCCCAACTCAGGTCCTTCAGCCTTACTCTGGTCTCCCTTTACCCCACGCTCACCCCCACCCCAGTAAACAGTCTAACAGAGAGAACAGAGGGGAGGGGCAAGGAAGGGTCCACAGCTGGGTGGGGAGGGCAGCCTGGTGGCTCTGGCTGCGAGGCCCTCCTAGCACGACGTGACTGGCTGGATGGGCAGCAGGCTCCCGAACTTGAAGTGCTGGATCACCGGGAACTTCTCCAGGCACTGCAGGAAGAGGAGGAGCAGAGGTGAGGGCTGCGCAGCAACTCTGGAGGCTTGGACTAGTGAGGTGGAGCTGGCCCAGAAGGGCTCCATCTAGGGCTCAGGTACATCCCAGGCCTTCAAAGAGAGGCAAGACTCCCTACGTGACATAGGCCCTTCCCACCCAAAGACCATGGCTCCACAAACAGAGAGAGAGAAAAGCAGTCCAACCCCAAAAGCAAAAGTCATGAAGAGAGGCAACCAAGTAACAACACTTAGCCCAAAGAACTTGGAGACCAGAAACGTAAGAACTCTCCCACCAAGGGAGTCCTGGTGCAGCGCTGTGGGTTAATGTGCTGGACTGCAAAGTTGGTTTGAACTTTAAGGTCAGTAGTTTCAAGCTGGGAAATTCTACACAGAGTTACTATGGGTCGGCACTTAACACCACCATCACCACCAATCAAAAAGAATTGAGACTCTAGAAATAAACCCACAGTTCCATGGTTCACTGATTTTTGATAAGGGTGCTAAATTCACTCACTGTGGAAAGAAGTTTCTTTTCAATAAACGATGTTGGGAAAACTGGATTTCCACATGCAAAGAAACAGAAAAGGATCCTTGCCTCACACCATACACAAAAATAAATCCAAAATGGATTAAGGGCCTAAAGATGCAAACCAAAACCATAAAATTCTTAGAACAAGCAGGGACAATGCTGCTGTAACAATGGATTATCTTTCAACTAACAAAAACACAAACTGCAAGACAACATAAATGGAAACTCATAAAAATTATGTATTTTATTCATTCAAACATTCTACCAAAAAGTCAAAAGGCAAGCTATGGGACTGGAACTATATCTTTGGAAGCCATATATCTGGTAATCTAATAACCAAAACACACATAAAACTTTGATAACAAAAGGACAAGTAACCTAATCATAAGATGGGCAAAGAACTTGAATAGACATTTCACTGAAGAGGACATTCAAATGGTCACCAGACATATCAAAAGATGCTCAATGTCATAAGCTGGCAGAGATGCTAATCAAAACCACAGTGAGATACTATTTCACTCCACTAGGATAGTTAAGATTTAAAAATAGATAAAAAATAAAAAATATTGGAGAGGATTTGGAAAATTGAAACCCTTATCCATTGCTGGTAGAAACACAAATGGTACAACCATTTTGAGGAGGTTCTTCAGAAAGCTAAAAATATAACTACCATGTTGTTGTTGTTGTTAAGTGCCATTGACTAGGTTTCAACACATAGCGAGACCCTTTATAGGGTTTCCAAGGAGGGGCTGGTGAGTTTGAACTACTAACCTTGCTATTCAAACCACCTACGGTCCAGTGCTTATCCTACATCGTCATACCAGGACTCCATAACCACTGTATGACCTAGCAATTACACTCCTAGGGATATAACCAAAAGACTTGAGAGCAGAGACTTGTACACAAATGTTCACTACGCATTATTCATAATAGTCAAAAGGCAGAAACAAAACAAATGTCCATTAACTGATGACAGGATAAACAAGATGTGGTCCATATATACAATGTAACACTACTCATGTAACAGGAGAAGAAAAAGGGCTTCATATATCCTTCAGTAATAGCTGGAGCTTGAAGACATTATGCTAACCAAGTAACTCAATCACAAAGACCAAGTTTTATTAGTGATTACCAAGGGCAGGAAGGAGGCAAAAAGGAGGTTAAGGATGATGGGAATATTTCATTGATTAAGGGTAGCACTGCACAGCTGATTACTGTAACTACTGTCAACAAGCTGTATACCTATAAAAAGCAGGACTAGCAAAGTTTATTTAACATTGTTATGGACCAACTTGTGTCCTCAGTAAATATGTGCCAACTTTGAGAGCCATTATTTTTAGTGGTTTGGCTGATGTGTAATGTAATTTGGCAGGTATGAAATGATAGTCATCCCCCATGGTGTGATATGATGTGATCAGCCAATCAGCTGGAAGGAGATTACAGTGGGATGCAACCCCTTTACTCAGGTCACAGCCTTGAGTTGATGTAAGGGGAGTTCCCCTGGGGTACGGCATGTGTCCCCTTTTATCTTATAAGAGATCAAAGGAGAGAGATGCCAGCAGAGAAGAAAAGACCTCAGTACCAGCAAGAAAGATGAGCTGGGAGCAGAGCATGTCCTTCGGACCTAGGTTCCTTGAGCTGAAAGCCTTCTAGACCCAGGGGAAGATTAATGCCAAGACATACAGAAATCTTAAAGGAACACCAGGTCCACAAATGTAGAAAGTAGATGAGGACCTTCCCTCAGAGCCAACAAAAAAAGAAAGCCTTCCCCTAGAACTGGAACCCTGAATTTCAGACTTCGAGCCTCCTGAACCGTGAGAGAATAAATTTGCTTGTTGATGTCTTCTACTTGTATACAAGGGGGCTTCAAAAAGTTCCTGGAAAAATTATCTTTCAATTTCATCTTTCCATGAACTTTTTGAAAGCCCCTGTATTTCTGTTATAGCAGCACTAGATAGATAACTAAGACAAATATACTTACAACAACAACAAGCAAAAAAGGGTAGCTGTTAAGGTTATCATGTTCAGTCAAACACTTTGTAGGGTTTGGTTCCTAGGGTCCTGGTTTCATGGGCTACCCCAGTTAATTGGCCTAATAACATGTTTTATGCTTCCGTTCTATGTCCTAGTTCATTGCATGGTGCCTGGAGTCTTAAAAGCTTGCAGGTAGCCATCCAAGGCACAATTGGTCTCTATTCACCTGGAACAATAGAGGAAAAAGGAGAGTCAAGAATAGGTGAAGGATGGAATGTATGATTAATTGCCTCTAAGAACAACTAGTTAGTTGTCTTGCCTCCTTTGCCATGAGACCAGAAGATTTAGATCAGGCTGGGAAGCCTTTTATCTGCCAAAATTTATAATATCATTCATGGGCCATACAAAATTATCCAACTTAAAAATTAGCCTATAAAGATGAGGCTTTCTGCTCCCGTAAAGATTCACAGCCTCAGAAACCCTGTACAGAGTCTCTATGAGTTGGAACCGATTCCACAGCACATAACAAACAACAATAGCAATGTGATGGCTAAGGAGCTCTGGTAGCATAGTGGTTACAAGTCGGGCTGCTAACCTCAAGGTCAGCAATTCAAAACTACCAGTCGTTCCGTGGGAGAAAGATGAGGCTTTTTGCTCCTGTAAAGATTTACAGCCTCAGAAACCCTTTACAGGGTTGCTATGAGTCGGAACCGACTCCATGGCACACTACCACCACCACCACCACTGTGATGGCTACAACTTCGGATGCCTTGGCAGGGCCAGACCAAATTATTTCTCGGGCCTTATAGGGCCAGAGGACCAGACGTTCCCCACCTCTGATCTAGATAGTGGCTGGCTACCTTTACTGAAGCTTTTGATTAAAGATTCCATAAAATAATCCTAATCAACAGGGACAAATGAAGAACAGAATTTCAAATGGACTCTAGACTTTCTGGAGTCGTGGAGGGTGGATGAACACCTGAAACTACTGCTCTTAAATCAAGTGTCCACTGAAGTCTTCTTAAAACTGAATAGTATAACTTAACTAGTATTAAGAAAAAAAGGTCTGCCTTGAGCCCTATAGTCTTTTAAGAACAATCTAGCTAGGATCAAACTGACCACAGGAATTGGAAAGATTAGACAGTTTACGTTAATGAGGGAGCACAACTCAGAAAAGAGAATTAGAACGGTTACACAACTCAAAAAACGTCATCAATGTCACTATTACATGTAGATACTGGTAAATGGTTATATATGCTTTACTATGTATATTCTCAACAACAACAAAATAAATGAAATTATAAATAAGTAAATAACCCTCCCAAGTCATATAGGAACCCCTTAGGATCAGACCCCTGGGCCCATAGAGAAGAAACTTGGAAACATTTGCAAACAAGTCTAAAAATGGGCCAAGTCCATTTTCTGAGATTTTCAGTCCTCTGAATTGAAAAAAAAAAACACATCTTGGCACTTCAGAGTGAGACAATAAGAACCAGCTGACATCCCCTCCATTCCTAGGGCTATTCCCAGAAGCTCTGTGCGTGGGGCAGAGGCCCAGCTGAGCAGGGACCCAGCCACCCTTCCTGACCCCAGCCATCCCAGACTGGGCCCTGGAGTCTGGCAGAGGAGGCAAGATAAAGAGAGCACCAGGACCTCCACAGAAGCAACCTGGTATACAGCCAACAACACAATCTCCAGGCCAGCACCCCTCCAGCCTGGGCACCACTTTTGCTCTGCACAAAGGGGTCAGGCGCCAATCCTGGCCTGGCTGTAACCACCACACAGGCTCTGGTCACCAGTTAACTCCACACAAGGTAGCTCTAGGCATGTAGGGAACTGCCAAGAGTAGCCCAGGGCTTCCTCCCACACCTTTGGCCACAAAGTGATTCAAATGTGCCGAGCACCTCATCGCTGGGCTGAAATAAGACTTCTGGACTCCAGATGAGGGGAGGGCCTCATTCTGCGTGCAGCTGGGGTCTCAAACTCTAATTAACTTTGAAGGGACAAGGGGTACCGTGACTGGGTCTAGGTTCCCTCCTCTCAACCACTAGCTACAGAAACAAGGGTGAGGCACGCAGGGTGAGGCAGTCTTGGCCAGCTGTGCTTGTGTGGAAGGAGGTGGTTCACAAGACCCAAAAGGGGGCCAAGAAGGGAACAGAGAAAAAGAAGTCCTTTTTGTGCATCAGAAGAAGAGCAAGGGTCTAAGTTGTAATGTAGGAACAGGGCAAGGGCAACAGCCAGGCTCCAGGCTCTGAGCAGAGAAAGTGGGGAGCAGGCAGCCAGGGTGGTCCCTGGGGGAGGAGAAGCAGCAGAGCTAGGCCAGAGGCAAAGGGAGCTGCCATTGTGCTTATGTCATCACGGAAGTGGTGGGAGTTTGGAAAAGGCCCCCTCCCCCCCAGGGCCCTGGAATTCCATCAAGGGTCAAAGGTCAGCCTGTGTCTAGCTCTTATTCAAGAGAAACTGCAAAGAGGAGAGCCTGGAGGTACAGGGGGAGATGATCTCCACCCTACCCACAGGGTCCCTCTTCTGGAATAATGCCAAGGAGTATCCCCTGACCCCATCCCCGACCCCAAATGTTTTCCTATGGCCACGGGAGAGGCAAGGAGCTGGGCAACAGGAGATGGATGAGGTTTCTTGAGACAAAGAAATCTATGGCTCCTGGTGTGGCACTGAGGGTTAATGCCCACACTAACTAGACTGCAAGGTCAGTAGTTCAAGCTCACCAGCTGCTCTTTGAAAACTTTATACAGGGTCACAATGAGTCGGAACTGACTCGATGGCACTTGACAATAACAGAGCCAGAGCAGAAGGGAGACTCTGGGTCAGGGCTCTATCCCAGCAAGACCCAGATCAGCAAAACTGTGTTCCTGGGCAGAGCAACAGCTTCAGCCTAAACTCTTATAAACCTCCTAGCTGGAAGCCCAGGCCAGGAGGCCAAGACCATAAGCTTTTCAACGTTACAGTGAATCAAGATGGAAAAGTAGCTCTCTGAGCCCTGAGTAAGCTCTAGTATGGTAGTACCAGCAGTGACAGCCCTTAGAGAACATGGCCCTGCCACCAACCAAGACACACTGAACACATTTGGTGCTCTGGCTCAAAAAGACTGGGACAAACAGTCTCAAACCTTGGGCCTCCTAAGGAAGGACACCCAATACCAGGGCCTGGTAGACCTCTGTGCCAGCTCAGAGAGGCCAACTGACTGGTGGGTCTCTAAAATCCTCAACAAAGACTAGTCTGAAAAAGGAAGACTTCCCCACTTGGTCCTTACATGAAATATCATGGACCAAGGATCATTAGGAGTTAGATTCCATTCAATGGCAGTGAGGATGAATTTTGGGGGTATTTTTTGGTAGTTATTGTGTTTTGGGGGGATTATCATGGACCAAAGCCTCAGAGCTAGTTGCTAGTAATTTAAGAATAGGCACTGAGCATTACACCTCCCAGTGAGTGAGTCACAACAATATCCTACCATGGAGTCTGGCTGTTATACAGGCTTGGTGAGGCTGAAGGCCCCCCACCCATAAGCACATGCAGAGCAGCTCCAGAGCTAGTTCCTGAGTTCAGGACAGTTGCTTTGTTTTCTATCCATCAGTGTATCTTTCATCTTGTCCTGAGTTGGTGGTAACTTTCAATCACTGTCTTACCGTCTCTCCAGCTGCAAGGGACTATTACACTATGGACTCTTTTGTTCTTACGTTGCTACACCACCACCATTTTGAATCTTATTTGCTCCTCCCCAATCCTCTGTCAGCCTGGAGCTCCTCTGCCTCTGGAAAGTGGGAAGAGGTAGGGGAAGAAGGGCAGGGTCTCTTGTCTTCCCCACAAGGCACCTGTGCCAAGATAACTTTTGAGTCACTCTACTAAAGAGACCTGTTGAAGGATACACGTAAGACCCAAGCAAGATAAGATGGCACAGGGTTGGGAGGGTGTCAGGATGGAGGGGAGCTATGTACCTACCCAAGCAGGGTGACAGAATTCCCTATCCACACCCACTGGGTGAGGTAAGGGTGCCAGGAACAACAGGACACCCAGAGGGCAGTGGCCTGGTGCTGTCCAACCAGGCAAAGCCAGAGTGGACATCCCTGCGGGCGGGCTGCAGACGGAAGGAGCCTGCACAGCCCCAGCAAGTGACGCCTCTCAGATTAGAGAGGTATGTGGGTTGGAACCTAAACACAGGATGTGAAGTACAGAGGAAGAGGACTGGGGAGGAGAGGGGGCGGAAGGGAGAGAGAGGGCCAGGCCCGGTCAGTTCCACCAGCAGCCGTTAACCCCTTCAGGGCCATGCAGAGGACGCTGGTTCAACTGGAAGCATTTGTACTGCCAAGCCTCAGACACCCCTCTAATACCTCTTTCACCTGGCTCCTCTGCCTCTATAGATAGGATCTGAGGTCTTCGCAGAGCAGGGCAGGCCAGGGCACCTCCCTCACAGAAGACAGTGAAGGGCCAAGTGTCAAGACATGAGTACCTAAGGGACAGTACCTGATATGATGAGTTAGTGGCCAGCGCCAGTCTGAGGGAGAAGAGGGGACTTTGGGGGCCCACCTACCCCCTTCTAGCAGGGAACTTCACACCCAGATACCTCCCAGCCAAGGGTCACGCAGTCCCAGGACTGGTCTGCTCAAGATGTGGGAAGAGCTAGTGAAATGCAAAGGATGAAAAACATCTACCATTCACAAGAGGAAAAGCTCCTACTGTGTTGGGAGAAAGGGAGAAGGTTAGAACAGCCTCAGGAGCCCAAAGGCAGCCACCTTCCCAGCATACCCTCTGCATACCCTCCCGGCCTCCTGCCTCTCCACACCTGAGAGCTGGGAAGCCCTATCTGCATCAGAAATTACCTGATCAGCTCATTCAAAATGCCAGCTGGGGCCACCAGACGAGACCTCTCATCCACCCAGAAATGACACACACTGAACACTGAAAAGTAGTACTTTGGATGGTACCCCAAAAGATGAAACTCCTCCCAAAACATCCCTTTGTCTTGTGTCCCCACGGAAGAGAGATTCAGAGACGGCCTGTGGTCATCTGACAGGTTGGAACTCTGGTAACAGGGGACTTGCCCAGGGTCACCAAACAAAGCTGGGCCTTAATCCACTGTTTTGACTGCCTATTTCGCAGATGGAAGATTCTGGGGTCCCAAGCATCAAGAGGGGCTGACAGTCAGGGCCCTAAGACCCACATCTTCTGCTTTGTCTCCAACCCCAGTTCCCCAGTGTGGCAGCAGGAGTAGGTGTACTAGCTGACAGGTAGCTGAGGGTCCTCCTACAAGTCCCCACTCACCTCGGCCTTATACATGCGGATGAGACCCTGGTTCACTTTGGACCAGGAGGGGACAGCACTGATGTTCCACAACTGGTTGGAGTGTTCAGCAAAGGGACCCGTCTTCATCTGGAAAAAGAGAGCCCACAGATGTAGGGGGGTAGCCCAGAAATGTGTCACTGCTCCCCAACAGCATGGTCACACATAAGCTTGAGGACCAGGCCACAGCACCTGCCTGTATGCACGCACACTCAGGCATACACTAATGCCTGTGAGACTCACTGAAGAAACATAACCTCCCTTGCCCATCCCCTTAGTCACCCCACTTTCTCTCCCACAATCAGAAGAAGGGAACTGATTCCCACCTCCCATCAAATAAAATCCCCATATAAACTCTCAGTGAGGCTCCCACCAACTCCCCTAGAGCCACATGGGGCCTCTCCAACACTGTGACTCATCAACATTCAGACAAACAGCACAACAGCATGGCCCTGAGCCTGCTTGACCACCCCTCCCTGCTGCCCCCATACAAAGGGCAGGCTCATCTGTGAGCACTTGGTCTGAACCTGCCATAGGCACAGCAAGAAGAACAGCAGCAGGGATCTGTGTGGGGAAGAGCCAAGGTGGGTTAAGTCTCAAAGGCAGGCATCAGACTGCCCTCTCTTTGGCAGGCCGTGGGAGGTGACACATTCAGCAAACTGGGAAGAGAGGTATGTTCAGAAAGTTAGCCCAGCCCAACCAGGACGTAGGAACACGATGACAGCATGGCAACCACAGCAGCAAAAAGCAGGCAGGGCTAAGGACTGCTCCATTCCTGGTGCCTCCCCTTGTTGAAAGTATCTGGCCCTCCAGAAAAGGAGAAAAATCCTCTGTAGCAAGCCCAGCTAAGGTGCCATGACATCAGAAACCACAGCACTGAGAACGGGAAGCTTGTGTGCCCAAGCGTGTCCCATGGGCACCACCAGGCCAAACATTTGTATTTATGAACCCAACACCCATTGTGGGCAGCTGCGTTCATAAATTGATGCAGACTGAACAGGGGTCAGCAACCTAAGCCCCAGGCTTTGAAAGAAAGACTTTGAAAAGCAAAGGGGCTGAGTCTGGCAAAGCAGTAGCAACTTGTACCCAGAGAATGGAAAGTTCCAGAAGAGGCTGTGTGAGGAATGTGAGGAGCTGGGGAAGTGCTCTATCATGTTGTTGTTGTTTGTTGTTAAAGTGACAGTCAAATCAGTTCGGGCTTATAGCAATCCTGTATAGAAGGAACTGGTGAATTTGAACCACCCACCTTGTAGTTCAAATTGACTTTAAGGTCTAGTGTTTAGTGCCACACCAGCCCTAACTGTAAGGGCCTTCAGAGGTACAGACCACCCCCCACTTCAACTGTAGCCTAGTGCCTGACTGACCAACACGCATAGGGCTTTCACCTTCTCCAGTCAGGGAAATTCTTAGGAAATTTAAAGGCTTAACTCCAAAACAGCCACCATGTTGCCCCTTCCCTCAGCCCCAAGTTCCCAAGAAATTTGTCTCTGAGTTCTGTAGCAGGTCTTCCTCAGGCTGTCCCTAGCACTAGAGGAAAATCTACCCTGGTCCCAGCAGGGCTTTTCCAGGATCTTTGCCTTCATCCAGAACACTTTTCCCTCCTGTCTGTCTAGTCAAAAGCTCGCTCCTCCAAGACAGGAGCCTACAAGGCCTGGCCTTCCCAAGCTCTGTTCCAGTCAATCTGGCTCCACCTCCAGCTTCCCCACCCCTCCTTTATATCAATCCCCCTAGGCTCCCCCTTGCCTCAGGCTCTCTGCTCCTGGGGACAGAGCCAAACTCCAACCCCATGCCCCAGAAGCGTAGGGGTCCTTGGAACTGTGTCACCAGCTTCCCTCTTTGGACAGGGCCTGTGGACAAACCACCTGAGAAGCACCCAGCTGCTCTGCCCAATAGCAGCAGCTGTAGGGGCCTGCTCAGCAACACTAACGAGGGGTACAGGAAGGCGACCTCAAAAAGCCTCTGGCCTGCTGCAAGATCCAGAGTAAGGCTCATGCTCTGGAGCCCTAATTCCCTGGGCCTCCACCAACGGAAAGGTCAGAGGTACACTGGTTCTCTAGGAAGGTTGTCCCCTGACGTCTTCAGAGTCCCAAGGCCTCCCTAAGTCCTTCAGAAGGTGACAGTGGAACTCTGGGAAAGGAAAACAGACATGGGGAAAAAAAGGAATGGGGGTGGGGGGCGAGAAGGCTGAAAAAAAAAAAAAAATTAGCTCATTCTAGCCACAAAGGGAGAAGAGAAAGAGCGAGAACGAGCAAGCAAGCTGCAGTCCCGCAGTGACCCCAGGGGAATCGTGTGAGTCAGAGCAGCCATATTGAGCAGGAAATTACTCACAGACGCTGCGTTCCTGCCTCTCCACTCCCCAGAGAATCAGCCTTTTGTAAATGGTTCCTCTGTCAGTAACTGAGGGGGGGATGGGGCGGGGGATGGGGGAAGCTCTGCACAGCGCCTTCCTGTCAGCTCCTTCCCTTCCAGCTGAAATCTGATCCCTCCCTTCCCAAAACTCCAAATTTAGAAGCCAGATTGAAACTGAAATTCTTTTCCTGCCTGCCCTGGGCTCTTAAAGGCGCCAGGGCTACATTTCCTGAGACAGCAGAAGCCCCACAAGGTGGGGTCCTTCATCTGGGATGGATGCCTGGGGCTACTAGAGCAGGACCCTAGTAAGCCCCCAAGGAGGGGAAGTCAGGTTCCATTTCCAACCTGTAGTTGTTTGTTTAATCTCTTAGCTGCACCAGCCCAGAAGATTCCTAGCTCTTCAGAGGTAACACTGCCTCCTTCCGGAGCAAAGGCCAGGAACTCCAGGAGACCCTCAAGTCCCACTTGCCAGTGTCAGGTCTTCTGAGCTTTGTCATGGGGAGCCAGGCCAGGTCACTCAATAGCTCACTCACCATCCATCAGGGCTGCAAAAACCCAGTGGGCAGGGCTAGGGCATGACAGGGAGCTCAGACCCAGGCTCTGCAGCTCACACACACAGAGCAGCCTGACTCTGGGCTGTCTCGGTGGGCAAAAGGGGGCCTTGCTACAACCACTTCAACTCATGGGACCCGCCCCTTTCCTAACAGCCAAAGTGAAACCCCTTGCAAGGGAATTTGGAACAGCTAAAAACTCTTAAATCCTGCCCCCACCTCCCTATTCATACCACTCTCCCGATTAAGGTGCACAGGTGGCTCTGTGGTTAAAGAATTCAACTGCTTACAGAAAGGTTGGCAGTTCAAACCTACTAGTCGCCCCTCAGGAAAAAGATGCAGCAGTATGCTTCCTTTAAAATTTTACAACCTTATGGGGCGATTCTACTGTGTCCTACACAGTCACTAAGAGTCAAAATCCACTCAATGGAGTCCCCCAATTATATATTAAAAATCTAATGTACCTGTAATGCCACCTAGTGGGCATTTTAGAATTTCCTACAGCATAATTTCCCCAAACTTTGGGATGGGGGGTGGGGGGAAAGAGAAAGAGAGAGAGGAGAGAGAGAGAGAGAGAGAGAGAGAGAGAGAG